TTTCAAAGAATTTGTGAAAACAAAGTTACCATCAGACGCCTTCCCCTTGTTTTTCTCGGTAGGACGCTTGTCCTTTTCCTGTTGCTGCCTGGCCTTCTCCTTATTTTTCTCTAAGGGGAAGTTGGCAGCAGGGGACGACCCAGGTTTGGGCACCGCATGCTTTCGTGGACGAAGAGGGGTGCTTATGTCCCCTCCCGTCTGCTTCCTGGCTTTCTCAGGCGGCGGTTGAGGGGTCGACCGGTTCTACAAGCAAACATCACAGTCGGTCAGTAGGGTTCACTAAAAAACAAGAGATAAAGAGATTGGATTCCATCATGAAGTCTTACCCCAGCCGGCTGGTTGGCTGGCGACTCCTCAGTTGGGCGTTTGCCCAAAACCGCTGAGCGGTACTGTGCTGCCGCCTTTTTCGAAGCAGAAACTTTCTCCATTACTTCAGCTGCATCAAGAAATCAAGAATTAGAAAAATAGACAAGTGACAAAGTTAGTACGGGAAGCAGGCGGATAGCTACCTTCAGACATCTCGGTACTTAGCCCACAGGCGGCCAAGTACGTCCCATCGTACAACCAGTTGTATTTGGGAACATATTGTTGGGGAACAAAAACTTTCTTCCCAGATTCAGGGTCCTCCTGAATGTCAACCTTAAACAAGCCAGCGTCTAAAAATCTCGCGCTTGGCCTTGGAAGGAACAGGCGGCAGGTCTTTGCAGGCTAGGAAGGGTGGATCCCTATTCCACCTATTGTACTTGGCATTATTGGCCTTGTCAGGGCAAGTGATAATGTAGAAGGTGGTCCGCCAGTCCTTCCACTTGTTCTCCTTACCCTCTGCCATGGCATATCCCCTATGGGATGTCAGCTGATACCACCCGGACCCTGTTGCTTTTGGAGTCCGACTAAGGTAATTCATTTGAGCAAACGCCTCAAAACTGGCGTCTACTTCATGCATTTTGCACCCGGCCACATAGCCGAGTATGTTGAACCAGGAATTGGGGGCCAGCTGCCACAGCCCAATTTGGTATCCGTCTAAAATGGCCTCGACGGCCGGGTGAAGAGGAAATCGAAGACCGGCCTTAATAGCCGCCTCATAACAACCAAAGCACTAGTCCCCATAGCTAGAACCAGTCGGCCAAACTACAACATCCTCTCTATCAGGGACCGTCACTAAGTAGTCGGCCCCCATTACATGCTTGGAGATGAACTCTCCATATCTCTCTATCATGACCTTCCGCCTCCCTTCAGGCACATGGTGAAAATAAAGGGCGTAAAAGTCTCGGTAGGAAGCCATGGGCTCGGCCCAGTTCTCCCCCATCGACACACTTAAAGACTCTCTAGCTGTGTGAATCCTAGAATACAGCTCTTTAGAGTCGAGAGAGTTCTGGCTCTCGCTACTGGCGTTCGACTCGTCGCTAGAGTCCGACGAGTCATTTGAATGCAAAGGTTCGGTAGGTGCCGCCTCTGTTTTAGAAGGCGACTCCTCAGTTTTGTTTGGGGTTTGAGAGGGTCCAGCAGGGACCGCCTCCTTCTCAGAAGACGACTCCCCAAAGTCATTTAAGATTGAGTCGCCAGGTGTACTTGTGGTACCCGATCTGTGATCAGGAAGGTCATAATGTGTATAAGATCCATCTGAGTTAGTTATTCGGCCAGTAGTCTTGATTCTTGCCATGACGTCCTGCACAGACATGGAAACAGTCGGATGATGTGCAAAGGACAAGGGTGGTCCTAGAAAAGTGGAGTCGGCACTCCTAGTCCTGGATTCAGCCGTCCCCGGTGACCGACTAATCGACAACCTAGGTCGTGCCGAGTGTCTTTGAGACACCATACTTTGTAAAATAAAAGAGGGAAAAGATTCAAAGAATGGATGTTTACCTGAAGTCGAAAGTTGAAGTAGACTGGAAGTAGGCGCCCGAGAAGAAAGTAAGCGGCGGGGTACGACTGCTCCGTAAAATCGCAAAAAGCTTAGGTCCGAGAGATCTCTTTCTGAAAATAATGTGAACAAATGTGAACAAAAGACTTGTTGACCAGCCCTATCTATAGGGAGAGAATGAGCAGAAGAGCATTCAAATTCAAAAGCTTGGGCGGAAAAATGCTCGGTCAAGCTATCCGTCGACACCTATCGTCTCCCCATTGGACGACGCTTTTCACAGGTCACACGTGCCAGGTCACGTGCCACCTGTGAGGGGCAAATGATTAGGGGGATTTTCCCTTAATCACCTCTCGCCATGTGGACCAGCCAGGGCCTGACAAGTGTCACCCAGTTGGACTTATCAGGACCTGCCACGTGGCACGCTTCCGCTGGTCCACCATGGACCTCCTATGTCATGCCATGTGGCCCTCTCAGCCTTGCCTAAACATGTAATAGATTGGGCCCAAATCCCAAGAAAGCCCAGTCAGTCCTAGGGTTGGCCAAAACCCTAGAACCTGGCACGCTTCCCTAGGCTATAAATACGGTCATAAATGCTCATTTATGACAGAGACTGTTCACAAGAAACACACGGATTGCACAAATCCCAAGACAATCACACACCACTCGGTACCGCCTGCTAGACCCGTCCTAGCATCCGGCACCTATTTACATTCCGCATTACAACTCCTTCATTCACTAACTTGATCGTTGGAGGCGGAGCTCCCTACCCAAGGAGTCTCCGTTATCTTGCAGGTACAGGCGCGTGGTTCCAGCCTCGAAGTTGTAACTCTCCCAAGGGACACAGAAAACCCCGGAACAAACCTTTTAAATTATTTTTCATAAACTTCAATAAAAATCTTATTTTATTTAATTAAAACTACTCCTAATAATTTTTATAAATCCCCCATAATAATAATAATTAATTAATTAAGAGAAGAGAAGAAGAAGTAGAAAACCAAGGAAAAAGAAGAAGAGAGGTGGCGCAAGGAAGGCGGCAGCTGGCGGATGGTGGCAGCCGGCGGTGGCAATGGCCGAGGGTGGTGATCGGTGGTGGTTGTGGTGTTTGGTGGTGGTGATTGGCGCAAGAACAAGAGAATGAGAGAAGAGAAATTAAGAGAGAATTAGAGGATTTGGTGTGAGTGTTTAGCCATGAATCAAGGGGTATTTATAGGCTAGCTCATGCAAGAATTATGGTAGGAGAATGTAGGAAGAATTATGGTAAAAAGAATTAAAAAAATTACTTGGAGAAGAGAGCTTAATTAAGAATTATGGAAAGTTTAATATTAAGGTGACTAAGAATAATATAATTAAGGAAAGTATGTTGTCATGAAAATAAATATGGCAAAAAGAGTTTGCTTGGGGAATAATCAAGGATGAAATAAAGTTGGGAAATAAGATGATCAGATATTTAGAAGGTAAGAAATAAGAATTAAAGAAAATAACAAATTTAAGGGAGATAATTAAAAATACAAATTACCAAAATAATTCACCCAAAAATCCATCATGGTGGCCGAAATTTTTAAGCTTCCATAGCTCAAAATTTCGGACACCCTATGTAGTATTTAGGGAAATATTTTGCTAGATTTAAGGGATTAAAAATAATTGTGTAAATAATATATTTTGTATAAAATAATTAATTAAGAGAGTACCAATTATTCACTAAATAATTTAGCTAAGAAAATCATCTTTTCCACACTAGGAAAATCCAAAAATCATAGCCAAATCAATAGGAATTTTTGGACCTTTTAATAAAATAATAAAATATAATTTTGCTTAGTTAAAATATCTGAAATATATATAAATAATTTGGTTTTTAAAATAAAATAAATGGATAATAAATCTTATCCAAAATCCAAAAATAATAACAAAGTTTTAAAATACTTTTGGCGCTAAAATTCAAATTCATCTTGGCTCCAAAATTCAAATAGTAAAATAAATTACTAAAATACCCTTTTTAGAAAATAATTATTAATTAATTAGAAAATACGTTTCAAAAATACGGGGTATTACATGCCACGTAGACCCCTTTTATTGCACCACGTCACCTACTTAACCTCTCATTATGCCACATTACTATTCAATCAACCTTGATCATTATGCCACGTCACCCAATCAATCAATATTATTCCGCATAAAAATATAAGGATACGGAGATTTGAACAAGGATGATTATTTTAACCATATAAACCAATAATCAACCATGTTATAAACATGAAAATAAATAAATATAATTGCAAATCACGTCTAATTACATAAGGGGGTAAAAAAAACCTCATAAATGTTAAAAACATGTATAATCACAAAGGTTAATCAAAGTAGCAAGTCGCTGCAACACCTGGGGCCACACACTAGTAATACTTCTGAAACTCAAATACTCCCTTCGTAATAGAATATTTGAGACTTTGAACTTTTTTTTACTATTCATGTATTAGCTTTGACCATAATTTTTACTAATATAATAAAATCATATTTTATCATAATTTTTTTTAAACCAATTATGTTGTTAAATAGGTATTAATATAAATTTCATAATACAATTTTTAAAATAATTTTCATTGATATCTATTACATATTACTAAAGGCGAACCTAAATTGACACTTGGCAGTCTTGTATTGAGTATTTTCCCTTCAAAAGTATTTTTTTTATGTCGTTTTATAGTTCTGTTGTATTATTATTCTGTTGTATTATAATTACTCTATATTAAACAACCGTGCATCTATTGTACAGGAATTAATATTGTATTTCATTATATAATTTAGTAAAATTTGTGCAATTGCGCGGGAATTTAACTAATTTAATTGATGCATTGTCTATGTGTGAAAAGATGATGTGTCAGATTTTTTGGACAGAGTATTATTCGAATTTAGAAGGTTTGCAATGAAAACCCATTCCTCAAAATCTTCCTCCAAGACTACTCTTCTCAGCTGACACACCTATTCCAACACAGTGCTATTCCAACGGTCGACTGTTGTCCTTTCCTCTCACCTATTTAATTCAAATTCATCTCCCTTCCCTAATTTCATTAACCTCTCCTTTCCACCATTGAAATACAGTACAACGTCTACAAATACCTAATTCAATACTAAAAAAAATAGCTAATTACAAAAAAAATGGGAAAAGTGTCGTATGAAGAAAGTCGCCAAAAGAGAGTTGAAGAAAATAAGAAACGATTGGAAGATCTCAATCTCATTCATCTTTCTCAATCTCTCAAAAACCTTTCCCCCAAATCGTCTCCGGTAACTACCCCTCTTTCTCTCTTATCTATTCTTTCTGTTCGGGTTTAGTTGTCACAATACATTAGTACTCGTTAAAAATTACATTATCAACGTGACTATTAATGTCGGACAGAATGAGTTAGCTAATGTGATGTTTATAACATTTTAATGAAAAGATGAAGAAGGTTTGGAAGCCTCGGACAGTAGAGAAGAAAATGGTGGCCGTTAGACGATCCGCTCGAGTTGCTAAAAATCCTGCCCCTGTTTATGTTGAAGTTTGTTCTCCTCTCCTTACCTTAATTTCCCTTAATTTTTATTCTTCACATTTATTAAATTTCTTCTTTTTTTTTTTTTGGGTACAGGTTCATTTGCCTAGATTGTCCTCACCTAGAAAGTGAGTTTATTTTAAATCATTCATTCAAATACCCAACCTGTTCAAATGTAGTTGTCATGTTATGACTATCAACGTGACTATTAATTTCGGATGAAAAATTGCTGGGTTGTAGGACCTATGGAGTAGTAAGGGGGAACTATGGAGTAGCAACAGAAGAAGAAAGAGCATCTACAATTGAGAAAGCAGAGAAATTGGTTGCTAAGCTTGAGGAGGAGGGCTACCCTACTGTCATTAGACCAATGCTTCCTTCCCATGTCACTGGCTGCTTTTGGCTGGTAATTTCTTTTTATTTGTCATTATATGTATCTAATTATAGAAAAATTTAGTCTTTTATGGTAAATGGGTTGCTGATGAGTTGTTTTACTCGGACTTGAAATTTCAACGAGACAAGTATGGGTCCAAGTGTCTAATTGCCTAGTAATTTCCATATTGATCATTTTAGTTCGAATTGGTAAATTTGATAGGTGACAAGCTTTGGTAATTTAACTCAACTACTCGAACGCGACACGAATATGTCCTTGTGTTGAATTTGACTATTTTACTTGGAAATGACAAGGATATTTTTTTTTTTAAGAGGGAAATGACAAGTATTTAAATTCAATTTAACTTCTCAGGAATTTTTCACTTGCTTTTTAATCTATGTTTTTATAGTTGATTAACATGTTTCAACCTGATACGAGTGGTTAAGAAACACTTTCGAATTTTAACCCCATAACAAGCCTAAGAATTATGGTTCATATATCGTACTTAATAATACCATGCCCATTTGAGTAGCTTAATTAAGCTTTATTAGTTTCTAATTAAAAAATTAATGTCAGCACCATGATATATCCCATTTATACGCTATATGTATACTTCATACGGAGTATAAAATAGTTCATAGTTAATTATTACATTTAATCTTACAATCCGGATTTTGATCTTTTATTTCACCAGATAGCTATATTCATGTAAATTTCTCTGACTATTGTCTAAAGCATTGTACCTAATCAGAGCCCCTTAATTTGAGCTGCAGGGTCTTCCTAGTGACTTTTGCAGGACGAGCTTACCTAATAACGATGCAGCAATAACACTGGTAGACGAAGAGGGCGATGAGTACCCAACTGTTTACTTAGCACGCAAAACTGGACTAAGTGGAGGTTGGCGCGGCTTTGCTATGGCTCATGAACTTGTTGATGGGGATACTGTCATTTTCCAAGTGATCAGTCACTCGATTTTTAAGGTGAAGAATTTATCTACGATTGCTTCGTTATTTTCTCAGCTACTTTACTTGTTATGTCTGATGCGTAATTTTGTATGATATGGGGCTGCAGGTATACATTATAAGGAGAAGCGACGATGTCGCTCTAGAGGGATAACTAGCTGCAACTGCAAACATCTTTCAGAAAAACAAATCTGCTCTTATAGTCTAGTGCTTAGATTGAGTCTTTTTCTAAAGTTGATCAAAAAACTGAAGCATCTCCTTGTTAATACTCTAGGCTGTTAGCTAATGTAACAATTTTTCGATATCAGGTGTAAACCATGAATCAAAGTTTTTCTTGTTAATATTCTAGGCGCGTTTAGCTGAGCTAGTCTAGTACGGATGGGAGTACTTCAATTTCATGAACTATGAAATCATATCATAATTTTGTTATAAAACCTGAACATGGATGTGAAACCTTTTTGCTGAAGATGATTAATATGAATGCCAACATAGTGATTCTGGTTTGCATTGCACATTTTTATTACTCCCTTCATGGCATAATGAACTATAGAATATAAACTAACACGTGAAAGACATAAACTAACAACAAATCGTAATATGAAGTATAAACAAACACTAAGTACACAAGAATATTATAACACCAAAGTATAAAAGAAACATTGAACTAACCACTAGTTGACTTGCAACATGTTATAAGCTTCGCTTCCTAAGCACGAGAATTAATAAAAGTGAGTTTCATGACTTTTTTTTTTTTTTTTTTCCGCAGACGGATTATTGGATTTTTTTAGGATAGCCCATGGGCTTTGTCATGGGTAAGCATGTGGCCTTATCTGGCACGTCCACAAGGCTCATGGGCCATGCTTGGGTCATGGTTTTGTAATTTCAGGTCGACCTAGCACATTGAGTAGCCTTTGGGTTAATGGTCTAGCCTGACCGACCCAAAGTCATCTTTAACTAAGCAACGTTGGTTTCAAAAGAGCAACAAATGCTGGCTTAAAAAAGTTGTAAACAACTAATCACTATTCTTTTTCTTCTTTCATTTTATCCGGCCTTCTCTCATCATTTCTCCAATTTGTATCTATATGCTCTCTTAATTTTTATGTTTTTTAAAGTTACACATTAGCATTAAATCGGAAGAAAAAAGTCACCAACTATAGTGAGAAAATAAATTTTTATTGTCACTTAAATTAGACATTGGTAAAACTGACTCATACCTAATTATCTAACCTAAAATACCCAAATTGAGACTCACACTTTACATGAAATCATGTCTTTCCCTGACCAATCATGCTCAACCTAATCTGATCAGATAATCAATGTTCCTAATATTAGTATTATTTATAAAAAGCGACAATAGAATCAAAATGATCTGACCAAACTTGAACCCAAAATCTACCTTAACCATTAATGACCCGATCTAAACCCGACCTAAATGACCTTAATTAATGACCTAATTGCCATCTCAAACATGAGTTAACACAGGGGCTTACCGGCCATTATTTAAATTTGGTGGTTGAAAACTCTATAGCTAGTATCAATAAACTATGGTATACGCTTTTTAAAATAAAATATAGAAAAAATGTCTCATATTAAGCAAAATCCAACCTCCATTTGGTATCCCTATTAAATTAATGATGATATTCTATAAAGTGGTAAAGTAGATTGAAAATTATCTCCTTTTGGTTGAAAGAATACTTAACGTGTATACAATTTCCACATTCTTTACAAAATCAATTTTGCTTAATATCTAAATCTAGAACATTGACATGTTCTAGCCTTTTGTTATAAAGCCACTAATCATCATATAAAGCACTCAATTTAGGTAATGATACTTATATATTTAGTCATATAACACACTATAATTATTATTAAGCCTAATTAATAATTTGTTACAAAATAATTAAGATTATCTACAATAATTCTTCGAATAGCTTAAAAAATAATTCCCAATAATTCCCTAAGACTACGCTATAAGTTAGGACCATGAACATGCAAATGATAAGAAAGTCAAGAGAGTAAGAATAGAGTAGATATATAGATGAAGATATTGAAGAATAAAAAAAAAAAAAAAAAAAAAAGGATGATGGTATGTTTGGTGTAGGTCCCATTTTTTGCAAGGTAAACACCGGCTCATATACGGCTGGATTTAGCGCCGAATTCTCGATGTTGTCGTTGTGGTTTTTTTGACATCTCTATTCTCATAGTAGTGATGATATTGTATGACTATGAGAGAGAAGTTTAAAGTCTTTATTAAAGGGAAAGATTTGGAAACTAATGTAATTTTGCATCACGCATTATATTCACTCATACCTTAAAGATTAACCCATTTAATTTTGTATGTTTAGATTTAAAACTTTGATGGAATTTGAGTTTAGAATTTTATCAAATAAGCTAACATTTTAATTTTGAGTACGTTATTCTAGTATGTTTATTTGTATATGAAATTCAAAGTATTTAAAGATGTGTATTGGTGATCATGAAAAAATTTCAATGAGAGACTCTATTACTAATAAACGGTGTATTTTTGTTTTTGGTTTTATTTTTTTTATTTATTTTTTGATGGGAAGTGAAGAATGGTGTAAAACATAGCCAATTCTAATTACTAAAAATTAAAAAAATCAATTTTAATTATTAAAAATATATCATGGTTACGGAGTAGTAAAGTTTAGTGTCCTTACTAGATTAGTTTCGTGGCGATGCACGATTTGAACAAATAATTTTTTTTTTTATTATCAAAATTAAAAAAAAAATCTCAAAATAAATAACATCAAATATTAAAAAAAAATTTAGAGGTCATAGAAAAATTGAACGATGAAATGGATACCTGAGGAAAAATAATTAAATTATTATTATTAGAGAGAATTAGATTGTTTTTCGGAAATTGATACTAATACAGAGTAATAATATAGCTAACCAGAATTTTGAAAAAAAAAAAACATAAAATGATGACATCATTTATAGTTTTAGAGGGAAAAATTTTAATGGCAATATGCCATGTGTCTAATTTTATGATAGAATGATATCAGCGGTTGTTATTTTAGTATTAGTTATAAATGCAATACGGAGTACAAAACTAGTTACTCCGTAATATGTAAGTCATTAAATATTTCAATAAAATATTAATGTTGTCATTTAGAATTTTAAAACAACTAGGGATTCTACCACGCGCAATGTGCGCAATATGGCTAGCCCTTTGAGAAGAAATATAACCGGTAGCCTTTATGCCCTATGCATGTTTGCATGATATTTTATTATATTTATTTGCATATAGGTGATACTTATATTGGATGTTGTGTAGTTGTGCAATGTTTTTAGTAAAGCTACTCTGATTTAGCGAGGGAATGGTAAAAAAAAAATCGAGTTCTAGAAATATAAATGTCTACATTTTAAGTGCGTATTGAACCGAAATAGAATAAATTAAACAAGACATCATACATAATTAAAAAAAAATATATATATACAATTATATACTCCGTAAATTTTGTACTCCGTATACATTAAAATTAATTTTAGAATACTTTGTATTAAATAGTGTTTAAATTCCAAATAGAAAAAAAACAAAAAGAAATGGAGTAAAAGATGGCTTTAAATATTAAAATAAACACAACTTTTTATTTACACATAATTAATTTAAGGGATTCAAAAGACAATTTTAGGGTTTTTGAAATCAAATGGGGGCAAATATTAAAAGAACATTTTTAGGGATATGAATGTCCATGCACTATTCATTAGAGTTTTGTTAAATGTTTTGGTAGGGATTCATAATCTACACTTCGACTATTGTTTTCTAGTTACATGTAATGAAAATGTAGTCATATGCGGTCTTATTTGATTCGTCAAAAATTGTAAAAATATATATATAAATATATAAAGAGAGAGAGACTTGTCTAAATTTTATTTTCGATATTTTTAAAAGGATCATGCTAACGAATGCCCTCGGGGTGTTACATTTAAAATACTTCCTAAATTGGTATTAATTTGGGAATGCATGCCAAAATCACGCGTCGATTGGTGTAATTAATATTCATTTTAATCTAATATTTCTAGTTTTAGTTATCTTATCTAGCCTCCGGACGTTTGTTAGATGAAAAAATTATTCCAAATACGCAATTTCAAATATACATTTACGAAGGTAGTAATCTAAAAGGACAAGAGTTAGCCTAAGTTTATAATAACAATCCGTCAATTCCTAGTTTGTGTCAAAAACCAGTCATATTATTTGAATATCAGATATCAAATCTCAAAATTTTAACCAACTAAATTAGCTAATCATCCAGATATCAAATTGAGCAATAAATTGAATGAGAATTTAGCATGGACAATCATCAAATTGTGAAGAATTGGTCCATACAAGAAAATGTAAAACCAAACACACACATTAGACATCACACATTACCCACAACACCGAGTAATAATCATCTGTAAACCCTCCAAAAAAAATAAAAAAATAAAAAAATAAACAAACAAAAAATCCAAATAAGAAGACGAAAAGATAAAAAAAAACACACAAAAACAAACGAAACACCACCATTTCCGCACTCCCCCCTTATTTCTCTCTCTCCTCTTTCTCTCTCTACAATGGAATTTCTGCTCTTCGCCGGGATCCGCGTTTCTCGATCACTTCAAACCGCCATTTTCACCGCCGTTTCTCCTCCTTCTTTCTCCGTCTAACCGCCGTCTCGATCTCTCTCTTTCTTCCCCCTTTTCTGTACGTCTTTCTCTCTCTTCAATATCCGTTCAAAATCATTTTGTTTGATTATTTTTTGTTAATGTTTTGATTACATTGTTGTTTGATTAATGCAGAGGTTTTTTTATGTGCACTGTTGAGCGATTTAGAGATTAGGGTGTTTGTGATTTTGAGTTGATTGATTCGATTTTTGATTTGGGGGTGAAAATTGGGGAAAACCCAAAACGATGTCGTCGAGAGGCGACCATCAAACGGTTCCTTTATCGGTGTTGTTAAGGAGGGAGCAGAATAGTGAGAGAATCGAGAATCCAGAACTTTCTTATGGTCAAGCTAATCAAAGTAAGAAAGGCGAAGATTATACCCTTTTGAAGACTGAATGCCAGCGTATTGTTGGTGATGGTGTTACCACTTTCTCCGTTTTCGGGGTAATTTCTCGATTTTTCGATGATTTATGTCGATTTTTTTCGAGTTTTTGATTTTTTTTTTTGATTTTTTTTAATGGAATTTATGATCTTTATTGAATTGATATTGTGTTGATTGATTGATTTGTTGATTATGAATCAATGAGGTTGATGGGAGTAAGTTTGTTATTGTCAATTTGGTTGGTATTTGATGTGGGCCTCAAACTGTTGTGTTGAATGAGGTTGATTGATGGGAGTAAGTTTGTAATTGCAGCTGTTTGATGGACATAATGGATCTGCTGCTGCTATCTATGCCAAAGAACATCTTTTGAGTAATGTTTTAAGCGCGATGCCAACGGATCTTAATCGAGACGATTGGGTTGCTGCGCTGCCAAGGGCTTTGGTTGCTGGATTTGTCAAAACGGATAAAGATTTTTTGGAGAAAGGTGAAATTATGATTGTGAATTTTGTTATTACTTGGCTCTAGATTAATGTATTTAAAATTTGAAGAGTTTGACTAGTATTCGACAATTATTTTGGGTCGATTTTCTCAGCAGTTGGGTGTTGGTAAGTTGGATATTGACGCCTTGACTATGACTTGGCTGACTGATATGACAATCTTTTTCTCTAATTGAAAGAGTGTATTTTGTAATCTTTTAAAAGACTTGATTTCGTGATGAGGCGTGATAAGTAACGAGTGGGTAGTTTTGTTTACAGGACAAGCGTCGGGAACTACTGTTACCTTTGCGATTATTGAAGGATGGTCTATAACTGTAGCATCAGTAGGGGACTCACGTTGCATACTTGAATCCGCTGAGGGTGAGATAATTTGTTTATCTGCTGATCACAGGCTTGAGAGCAATGAGGAAGAGTAAGTCGTAGGCACAACATAGTTCTATTAGTCATC